TGATCGCGATCCTCGCTTCACGGGACGGTTCTGGACGACCCTATTCAATCTGATGGGGACCGAGCTGAAGTTCTCTACGGCCTATCATCCTCAAACTGATGGCCAAACTGAGAGGATGAACCAGTTGCTTGAAGAATACCTAAGGCACTATGTGACCGCAAGCCAGGATAATTGGTTGGATTTGTTGGACATGGCCCAATTCTGTTACAATTTACACAAGTCCTCGGCGACCGGTATGAGCCCATTTGAGTTGGTTTACGGACAACAACCCCAGTTACCGCATGATGTAGCGGTGCAGCGGACCGGTGGCAAATGTCCCGCGGCATATCGATATACCCGGGCGCAGCATGAGCTGTTGGTTGATGCCCGTGATAGCCTTGCCAAGGCGCAGCGACGCATGAAGAAATTTGCGGACCGTGGGCGACGGGACGTACAATTTGAAGTTGGGGAGTTTGTATTGCTGAAGTTGACCCCAAAGGTGTGGAAAAGGATCTCGGCAAAGACAGTCCATCGAGGACTGATTCCAAAGTACGAGGGTCCCTTTGAAATTGTGAGCAAAGTGGGGAATGTGGCCTATCGGCTGAGGCTACCTGACCGTTTGAAGGTACATCCCACATTTCATGTATCTTATTTGAAGAAGTATCATCCTGACTTGATTGAGGCGAGTCGCAACGTCTCTACTCGAGCCCCTCCGACGGTGAGAGATCATTTCACGAAAGAGATGGAGAAGATTCTGGATCACATGACCCTTGGCCAAAGTAAGAAGAATTGGCGAACAGACTATCTAGTTCAGTGGAAGGGCGAGCCCGAGTCGGACGCTACCTGGATTCGGAATACCAAGTTGTGGCAATTTACTGATAAGATTGCGGAGTATGAGGCAAGAAGGATGGTGAACCCCCAGTCGACGAGGGCGTCGACGAGCTTAGGCGGGGGAAGTTTGTAACGGACCCGAAAAGTGGGCTGGACCTTGGCGTATTTCCCTTATGTGCGCCAAGGGTCAAGAAACCGAGCACGTGTGCGCGGTGAGGGATAAGGGAACGAGAACATCAACACGGGAAAGGTACCGGGCTAGCTTGGCGCGGATGCTGGGTTGCAGGGCCGAGTTGATGTAGACTGAGTATGGGATCAGTCGAGTCTTTGATGGTTGTGCATGGCCATGCGAAGATACGTGGGCAATGGTGCGAGGCGGTACGGCGCCTTTGCACGCAAGGTAGACCGGGGTCGACTCTAAAGGCGCGGGTTCTATTCGGCGTACGTTGGTGGGTGCGCGAGTGTTGGCGCGACGTCCAAACTATTGGCGGGAACGGTTAGGAATTTGAATGAGCATGCTGGTTGCACGTGGACAAGCCGTTATGATATCCCACGTGGCCTGGGCGCGAATTCCTTCAACGCTGCATGGCTGAATGAATCCAAGGAGCGACGCGTGTCCATAGCGGTTACAGAGGACACGTGGAAGGCGTTGCTTAATACTTCGGTATTTGACCGTTGGGTGAACGGTTACGCGCGTTCAAATCGTTTATGAACGGTTGTATAGAGTAGGCTTTGGATAGAGGCAGTTTCTTAACTGCCCAACGGTTACTTTGCCTAGCGGTTAGGGTTTGTTAACCGCCTGTTGCCTGCGGGCCTTTATATATAGGCCATGAGCTGCACGCACGCGAGTACGAGCGATACCGCGTGAGTTTGTGTGCAAGCCTTGGTGATTTTCCAACTTAGTGAAATATAGTTGGTTGGGCGTGGAGCCCGTAAATTGGGTTGCCTTGTTTTATTGCTTTATGTTCATGTGGGTGATTGCTTGTTTGCTGTATGCATACTTAAACACTATTCTGACTTTGTATAATTAAGTTGTGCGTTTAGTGTGAGTGGAAAAAGGCTGACTGGTTTAGGGAGAAACCAGGCCGCATAAGGTGCTAAAGGTGCGAAAATTTTAGCCTCTTTTTAGACCCTGTGACAGCAGGTCTGGTCGGTCCCAAGGTGGAGGAGGAGGTAGTGGGGGACAATGCCTTACACACTTGAATAAAATATTCCACAAGCACATGCTCCACTTTGGCTTAATCATAGGCTGACTTCCTTAACACTTTCTTAGGGACATCTTAGCCCTAAATGACCCTCATTAAGTCCTTAGTACACGCAGCATTGGGTCATGGAAGGAAGTGGGCCGGAATTTCAAGAATTGGGCTCCAAATGATGGGCTGTCGCTGCTGGCGCTGGGCTGGGCGCGCTGGGCGCGAGCTGGGCTGCACACGGCCCTGGGCTGGGCGCTGGGCTGCGCGAACGGGCCTGTGTACGCGGACTGGGCGCGGGACAAACCTTGGACCGAGAAAAATGACTTTCTAAGGCATAAATGACATGGCCCATGATCTTATCTTGATGCATAATACTTAGAAAAATTCCAAAGGTGTTTGGCCATGACTTGGGCCACCATACATAGCTCGCGCGAGGCTAGGGTGCGGGTACTAGGGCGCGACTCATGGCCCGACTTGGAATGCACTTGAACCGAGGCTAACCCTTGGCTAGGGCTGAAAAATGGCCACACTTAGGTGCCACCAAACCTAGAAAAATCCCCTCAATACTTGGTCATGACTTGGTGCGAACTCGGCACGGCTTTGGCCCGAACTTGCGAACCCTAGGCGCGAGTGATCTCGGGGCCACGCACGAACTAGGTGCGGTATACTAGACCGAGGGAATAACATCCAAGGCTTGACAAATATGATCTCATACTTAGAAATATTCTAAGTAAGGTTATGAGCGTGGCTAGGGCTCGAACAAGACTCGAGACAACTAGGGCTCGAGAATTGGCTAGGCGCGAACTAGGCGCGATACTCGCGACCGAACAACTCGGTTCCGGACACGGCTAAACTTGGACGATTTATCGAAACAAACTTGGTTTCGATTATTCGTCAACTGAAATAACTAATTCCGACTGAATAAAATCCATTACTAAAATAAATGGACTGGAATTAATAACTGAGATTGAATAGCTGATAACTGGGCTCGGAACTCAAGACGAGCAGTATTAATAAAAAGAAATAGTTCAACTGGGAACTAAAAACTGTCATTTTTATTAATACAGAGCTGGGCTGTTACACATTATATTTGAAATTGTGTCTTAGATAATTGACATATCACATTTTATAGATTTAAGTATTAGTATAAATAAATAATATAATTATGAAATATTTTACTTATATATGAATTGCTATATAAATTCCACAAATTTTTTAATTATAAAATTAAGGTATCATGAGCAATTAATTAAGTACAGAAATATTATTATTATATCAATTGTTTATGCGATTTTACGAGATTGGCTATGCCATGAAAATTAATTATCTATTTAAACAAATAACCTGATGAGATAAAAGAAAAAATTAATATTAATTTTAAAATAAATACCTTGAAGAAAAAAAGAAAAAAATGGTATATAATTTTTTATAAGTATGTAACTTCCATGAACCTTTTAGTGTGAATCTATATTTAGTTAATATTATTATTACTTGTTTATGGTATAATAATTAAAAAAAGTATTACTACAATTAATTAATACAAAAATGTAAAGGTTAGTTTCGTATTTGATGAAAAAAATGAGATGAAATTATTCACTAATAACGCCTACAACCCACCTGCCTCGCCTTGCGCCTTGCCCTGGCCCGTGCAGGCTAACCCGTTTAGACCCATTCTCCTAAACGGGCCCAAAAACCTCAACCCAAACTACCCTGATTGTGGGGTGGGCCTATCCGTGAGTAGACCTGTAAACGAGCCTAGTTCGGCTCGTTTATCACTAATAACGAGCCGATCTCGCGCTTTGACGATCCAAATTACAGAAAATTATATAAAAAAATTCTGTTTTGGAAAGAGCTTTATCAAGCTGAGCTCGTTAACCAAACGAGCTTCAGCTAGAGTTGACACATCTTATATTAGTTAACCACCACAATCTCACATTTTTTTTTCCCCAAAGTAACCCACATTTTTGCTGCAACCTCATTTTCTTCTGTCGATAAATTGAGGCAATGGAGAAACGAAACACGAAAAATGGCTATTAGAATCCATAACAAAGGTACGAGTAAAACGGAGAAAACTGATTCTCAAAAAAAGATAATCACCCAATAAACACAAATATCATCTGCTTCCCAATTAAGCAAAGCTAAATTACTCTGAGAGAGGAGACTTTCTTTCGGCCTCTTCGTAAAGATGGCCTGTGAAAGAGTAGGTCAGAATAGATGGAAGTGTGTTATTGTCTTAGGATTGTTAAATTAAAATTATAAAATTAAGCTTCACTATAAAATTAAAGAAGCAATAAGTTTTTGTTTTGACCGGTAATTGTACTTTTGTTTTCAATAGCCCAAGATAGCCAAGATATAGAAGAAATGCCGAACCCATAATTGTCGAGAATTGAGTGCCTTCCTTTCGGTTCACCCTTCAGAATTTTTAAATGCCCCAGCAAATGAGGAAAATACATGTCCATTCCAGGATACAATAGCCTGAAAAATTGTAAAATGTTAGTGTTGATCATCACATAGGCAGTGAAAAGTGAATCAGTCAGTCGAATTCATAAATGCTGCCCAAATTGTTCACTATAAAATATTAAAAGAAAAAAATATATAATTCTGAAACTACCTTATCATCCAAATGCGGCCAGGAAGTTTTGAATTTACATCAAAAGAGCTTCTGTTTACAAATCCTCAATATCTCCAGATCCTCGACCGACAAACTCAATTATTACACCCTTGAACTCATTGTAAGGATCACACATTCTTGTAAATCGCAGTTACCCAATGGTTTAATGTAAGTATAAATAATCCCTAATACAATAGTAGTAGGGTTCCGTAAAAGTCAAATAAATGCTCAAACGAACCCTCAATATACATCAAACAAGAACAAAATCTAAAGAAGATGGAATAATTGTCAATCTAAGCAGATCACATGAAAATAAGACTGTTTTTGTTCAAAGCCATTGCATTTGCACCTCAAACAACCTCGCCAAAATTTCTCCCAACAAATCACTAGCTAAGCTTGTACATGAGTTTAACAAAACTCACATTCTCTCCAGCTTCTGCTTTCCTTGACGCATAAGTTTCGCAAAGCTCCTGTGCCTCCCCAGCAAACGGCAACACATAGCTTTCTATGAAATCTTTCTCACTAATGACAAGCACCTTATTCAAGTTCCAATCTTCCTTGATCAAGCCCTTTGAAGCTAAGTCACGTACGAACGTGCACCTGGGGACTATTCTCTTTTCCATACTGAAAAAGATAATAGTTGGCTTCTTAGCCACTGACTTTGCATCCCGACCCAACTCACGAGACACAAATTCAAAGAAAGCCGTAATCTTCTTCTCCGAACAAAGCATGCAATTGGGATGCTTCAAGAATGCACCCAATATGTCATCCCTCGACCATCCCCATTTTCGATAAACTTCATAGCATCTGTTCCACAGGGCCAAACAGGACTTCCCTGAACGAGCATTGATGGCCAGGAAAAAAATCAATCTTGACGGGTTAAAACCCATTTCCCTCACTTCCTGCACGAGTTTCCTGAATTCAGAGTGTTCCAAAGAAAAAATCCCAGGGCACAGGAAAAAGGCGCGCTCGAGTTGCGAGGTAGGCACCCCAATCTCCCGCAGGTGGTCCACGTTAGAAATGAACCTGTTCTGATTGCTAGCCCAGGTCAAAAAGTGCGATCCGCGGGCAAAGAGAGCTGCGGCCTTTTCAGGCCCGAGCAGATTTTTGAGGTAATCCAAGTTGGGAGCGAGCTTTTGCTCCAAGCTCATGGTCAAGAGAAAGGGGTATTTCGAGATGGTGGCAAGAACGTCCTTCTTAGGAACTCCGGAGAACGAGCTCTGGAAAAATTGGATCTTGGGAAGGATTGAATTTTCCGGCTTCGACAGAAGCAACCTGGGTTTTGCCCTCACGATGCTGGAGATTTGGGGTTTTGTGAAACCCTCATTTTTGAGAAGATCCAGAAAGGCGTTAGGCTTGACGGGTGTGCCGAAATGGACTTTCTTAGAAGCAGCAATGGCGTCTTCCGGCGACAAACCACATGAGTCGACCAGGTAGGAGACGACGGGGCCGTTTTCCGGCGAGTTCTCGCCGGGTCCGGCATTTTTCAGAGTGCAGAATTTCGCGAACTGATTTGGGCATGGCCTTGACAGAATTGTACGTAGTAGCGCCGGAAGATTGGGCGGCGGCATGGTATATTTGTACGGCGTGGAGCTACTCGGGATTAAAGCTTCATGACCGAGGGCAGGGCGACTATGAGATGACTGATTTACAAACCCTAGAATCTGCGAACGGGACGAAATTGGGGGAAATGTTATTGAGTTGCGGGGAATGATTATTATGAAGTTGCAGTGACTTGAGCTGGGCAGTGTTGGGACTTAATTGATTCCATTACGACTTCATTCAAGCCTCACCATTTTTGCCCGATATCCCGATATACTTTTTTTTTTTTTTCNGCACACGAGCTGATTCGAATCAAACATTAGCCTGATCGAGCAAGATTATTTTTTTTTTTTCTTTTACCTGCCCGAGCTCGTCAAGCTCGATTTTTTTACGCTCGAGATCGACTCGACAAAGAAAGCAATTGCTCGAGCTCGGCTCGAGATCAATTGAAATAAAAAATGCTCGAAAGATTGCTCGAGCTAAGCTCAAGTTCGACAATTTTAAGTAAAATTACCATTAAGTACATATATAAAATATTGTAATATTTATATATATAAGTTGTATTTTAGTAATTCACAACGCGAACGGCACGACCTTTCAAAACCTATGCTCAAAATCGACTCGATAACATGCTCAAGCTGCTCAAGTACGGTCAAACTCAAGCTCGAGCCAAGTTTTGAATCGAGCAATCAAGAGCTACTCGTGAGCCGCTCGATTTGTTTGCAGCCCTACATTGTCCTATAAAAATCAATGCAAATATGTCATTTAATAATACACGTATGCATTTTTATTTAAATAGTATGACTGGTCGACCCGCCTAACGGGTTAGTTGTCCCATAAGGATGGGCAAAAAAACCGAATTTCTCGGTACCGAACTGAACTGAAATGGTCTCGTTCCAAAAGGCAGGGTTTATACATATGTATATTATATATATTATACTTATTGAGGTTCATTGAAGAGAAATCCCGTAAAATATTGTTACCAGGTTCACTTGTAATAATCAAATTTGGTGGTGTTAAGTGTTCCAGCAAGCATACATCCCAGGCTCCACAAGTCCAAGGAGTAATCATAATCTTGCAAATCCACAAGAAGTTCATGGCCCTTAAAATATCTGCTCAAGATAGGTCACCAAACTTAAGTGAAGGCAGTCAGCTAGAAGAAATAGGGTTGACTTATTAAGTCAAAAATATTTACCCATACTCATTTATTTGGTCCAAAAATGTATAAGTCAACTCAAGTACTCAACTGAGAAGGCAATCAGGCATCAATTTATTTATTTATTTTTTTAAACTCCAACAACTTTGAGGGAATGGATCTTAAGTTAAACAAATAATTTTAACGAAATCGTTTCCTAAAATATTTGAACTCCGAAAAAGTTGAAATTTAATGAACGAGTTCAAACACAGTTTTTTTTTAACCAACTAAAAAGTAGGACTAGAGCTTGTACCGGTATAAACGAATCGTTTGGACTGTACCACACGAGACATGAGTCAACCTTGGCACTGGCCTGTTTGGGTAAACCCGATTTGACCCAACTACTAGTTTTATTCTTTTTATGCATATATTTTATAATTTATCTAAAAACAAAATTATACATATATTCATGTGACAAATATTTATAACAAAAATTGGTATTACTAAGATTTTGAGGTATAAATATTACATTCAAAATATTATTTTATGTAATATTTTTTAGATTTCATAGTATAGATACACATATAAAATTATTAAATCGATAATTTTCCAATCAAACATTTTTATATTAACCTTTTTTTTTTTAAATACATTACTCAATTCATTATTTGATCCGATGACGGGACAATTGAACCCACGAATCATTCTCAGCCTAGTGCATGGCCCGTGCGATGCACGAACAAACAACATTACGATTGTATTATAAATTAAATATATAAGAAACATTAATCATGAGTTACCTATTATTTTTAAATTAAATTGGGTTGGACACAGTCCGACTGAATGGACCGGGAACCGATTTATAACCAGTCTAGTTCGCTTGAATAAAATATTTTCTATCGAATCCTTCAACACCGATCGGTTGGACTGGTAGGATCGATACAATTTTCTAAATAGATTTTGCTACATTTAAAGTTATTTTAAATAAAATTACATATTTAAATAAAATAGAGATTTATAAACTTTTTATCAATTAGTTTAAACATTTGAATTTATAAATTGTTTAGATATTTAAGTAATTATAAAATATTAAAATGTTTATAAATTAAAATCTAAACAAACCACAAATGATATAATAAAATAACTTTGATTGTTTTGATGAGGGTCCGATTCTAAAAAACTTATATTTACTGTATATTAATAAAATTATAATAAAATATTATTTTATTTACATAAATATTAATAAAATGATATATAAGTATCTATAAATTATTGAACATGTTGTCATAAAAGGATGACATGATTTTCCAATTATGATCTCTGATTCTTTGTCTCAATAAACAATAGTGGCATTTGCAATAGAGTCCGAGATGAGCAAATTCATCTTATATCTATTAAAAAAAAATAGCATGAAAAATTCATCAATTATGACAAAGAGATTAAAGTAAATCAAATTCTTCTTTAGAAATACTCCTTATAAAAAAAGATATTCAATCTATTTCCAAGATAATAGTAAACAGTTATTTGAAATTTGAAATCAAAATTTGGAGATATCTGAATTTTTGGAATACTTCTAAAGAGTCCGAACTATGTGAAACTATGAAGTTGATTTGATATTGAATTCAAGATCTGTCGGAATTTGAAAAAAATTCCTTAATTTTAGGTTGTTCAAATATATAAATATATGTGATTTGATTTTTTCAAATTCAAATTGTAGATGAGTCATATTTTACATCTATTATATGCGATTATTTATTATTCGATTTTATGGCAATCGAGTGGCAAGAAATTTAGAATTTTAAATTATCAATTAAATATTGCATTCGATTTCATTTGCAATTAGTTTTTTTGAATAAAAAAGGAGATGACATAAAGTTTATGCCTGATTTTATAATATGACCCATTTTTAATATTTAATTATATAAAGTAAGATATGATATATAATCTAAAGTAGATTATGTTTTGATCTAAAAACTCATATATTATGCGTGCCTGTAAATTAGATACACAATAACCGATTTTTTGGGAAGTGAATTAAAATATGAAATAAAAAATAGCTAAAAAATAACCGATTGAAGGCCAACCGATTTTTTGGGAAGTGAATTAAAACATAAAATAAAAAATAGCTGAAAATAGTATGTAATTAATATATGTTGACTTTTTCTTCTTATTATTTATGGTAAATAGTAAATCTTTTTATATATAGATAGATGTCATTATTTGATCCGGCCAAATTTGAAAATACTGATAATTTGATTTTTCAAATATATAAAAAAAAAAAAAATGGAGAGAGAATAAAGGGTCAAAAAAATGTACTTAAATATACACCAACTCCCCACCACTAACCCAATCAATGCACCTACTACTTTTAACTTGGAACGCTGATGAAGCAGTAAAGACAGATAGTACCAAACAAAGGAAAATAAATAAATAAATAAAAGTTCCCTTCAAATTCCCAATGTCCAAATTCCAACTCAACAACGTGCCGCGAAATCATTCGTTCGCTTTCACCATTATTATAGGCTGCTGTTTGACTCCTTCAATATAAGAACGTGTTTGGTGAAAGGTTAAGTTTTGATTTTTATATGTTATAAAATTATTTTAGTTACATTAGGCGTTTCTATAAATCAATCTAATGATTGGTCTGCTAAAAATTAGAGTTATTTAAATGAAATGAATAGTTTGTGACTCGACTCCACATATTGACTCGTTAATATTGATAAATGAGTCAAATTTAAGCTCGTCATTTGACTCTGTTTGGCTCACTTACACCTCTAATTATTATTTTACAACTAATTTGTCTATTCTTATTCAAAACTTCATAATGTAAATAAAAATATGATAATATATAGTGTAAGAACGTATTTTTAGGCATTCTAACAACATATTGTGTTTAATTGTAGTGGTATTTAGTGAATTAGCTTGTAGTTTAAAGATGAGTTTGTTTAGTTTGTGTAATTCCAAATGCTTTGATAATTATCCATTGCAGAATAAATTTATGAGAAGGATAGTGGTGATAGGTAAATTGTAAAAAGATTTTAGACTTTTACCCTAATGTTTTTTAGTTACACATGATTTCAACACACATATAATAATAATAATAATAATAATAATAATAATAATAATAATAATAATTTTTACTTAAGTAGTTGGTCAAGATCTACCAAGAATATAAAAATTATATTATATATTACAATTTATTTCATAAATATACCAGTTCATGTGTAACTTATGCAGTTTATATTTGTATTGTTTATTTTACTAATTGTTAAAATTTGATATGTTCATTATCTAACTTATACTTTTAATATGATATAGATACATATAATATATAATACTTTATGTGCATTCGCACAAAAATATCGACTACTTGTCAAAATGGGTCGTGGCCCGCAGACTAGCATGTATGCCCTTCTAAACGGACGGGATTAGACTTTTGTTTGACCAAACTATTTATTCACGGGCCTATTTTGCCCGCCCTGTTTCAGCTTGTTGTCCAAAGTAGACCGAGTGGGCTGGACCGCAGGCCAACCCATTATTTTTTTTTATATAGATATATTTTTTAAAGTTATTTTTTATCATAAGATCCACCAAAAATCTATGTTGTTGCAAAATAAGTTACAATATTTGGTTGAGTGAAAGTGTTTATGTTACACGTAAACTAATAGTCCCGACTTTAACACTATATTTTCAATGTTTTTATTTTTTTCAACTATTATTACCGGCAAAAACTCACGTTAAGTGAATAATGGATTCCACATACCTAAACGAAAACTTAAAGGGCAACACTTTTTTCAAGGAGCTCGTTTTGTCAAATCAAAGCCTTTGCCAGTTAAAGTGTCATCCCTTGGGTTGGACGGCGGGTTGATGTGGGCGGGCCATGGACCGGGGGTCTCCCTGCTCGTGCAAATATGAGTAGCCTGTCACTTCGAACCGCGAGCCAATAATGCCCTTTTGACACAGTTATATATCATGTATAAAATATTTCCTTCTATTTATCTCAAAAAACAATTAAGGGCGACAAATTTTGTTTCTCGATAAAAACTTTAATTCATCCATATATGGTATTATTTTTCTATTTATTTTAATTATTATTATTATTATTATTATTATTATTATTATTATTATTATTATTATTATTATTATAAGTCAATAGATTTGTAACTTTTCGTATTTTTAGTTTATATTGTGCACATATTTTGACTTGAATATGTAAATTTTTAGCATTACATGCATAGAGGAAATATTTATATAGACATCAATTAATAGTGTTACTGACATTATCGTATCTAAATTAATAATAATGTATAAACATTATCTGAGATAATTTATTACAAAGATAAAAATAAATCAATATATATATATATACACATTAATTACCATCTTTTGAATGCTTTTCCCGCTCATTCTTTTATTTAATTTTAGAAACTAACTGATACAATATTCTCTGTATGAATTAAATAATATAACATTATATTATTATACTATCATTTAATACTATCTTGTAATAATTACTACTTTCCAAGGAATTGAGCAGCCATGCCGGATTAACGAAGCAGACCAGACCCATTAAGACAGGGTGTAGCTATCAGATAAACCCACACTCAATCAGATCTTGGAAGACCAAGAGGTCGAATCGACCACGCTCTACCTAACTAATAGTGGAGTCAAAGAGGACCATCTTCTACCAGGACGGAGGTTCAACTTAATGACGTGGCCTTGATCTCTCAAAGGGACAAAGAGGCATCTATATAAGAAACTGCGACATACGAAGATTGGACCACGCGTCGCAATGATATTGGGTCGTTTACACCCCTGACACCCAACAATCTGATGCATGGCAGATGCTGCAGGTCATACGGACGGACAATAGGTTAGTTTTAGGGTTACATTCTCTATACACTTTATATACTTATTCACTGTTTATTGTCTTGGAGTAATATTGACTTAGACATCAGAGACTCTTCACAGGAAACCCCCCTTCCGGCGTTGAGTTCTTGTATGTGTGGAAGTTGTTCGAGGTCGAAGAAGAAGTCCTTGAGGTCGAGGCTAGAAGGCGTGTTAAGGGAGGTGGCTGAGCTGTTAAGCGAAGAGCTCGGCATGCCATACTGGGTGGTTTCGTTCGGTTGGTCCCGGTTGCCCTTTCCGGGACCCGCCTTGTACGCGCATGACCGATGAATGAAATAAAATACGAGATGTAATACGAGAATCAATCTTATGTCGAAGTACACCCGAACGACGACTGGTCTTGCGCCATTTGACCGACACACTGTTTTTACAAATATCAATATTTTCTTAAGAATATGTCATACTTAAAAAACAACATAAACAGAAGCATGACATTTGGTATTGAATCTGTTTGGCTGTTAGCTGATAGCGGATGCATAATTGTATAAGCGGATATTTGATAGCATATTTAATTAAAGTTAGCATCGACATGTTGTCGAATCCTTTTTTTTTTTTTTTTCTCATATATTCAGTTTCTTGTAATTAGCACTTTGAGTTTAAAAAAACTAATCAAACAAATTATTTACTAAAGAAGTTATTTAGTGAATTTGACAAGTCAAACCTCTAAATACTGTGCAATCATCTAATTTTATATCAATCTTCTAAAATCCAAACATAAACATTACAAATACGCAAGTTTATTTAAATAGTACGACAAATCGCCTCGCTAAAATATAGAGCTTCAAACAAGAATTTGTGAGGGAACATAGGTCCCATTCAAGGACAAAATTGTAATCCATCAACTGAAAGAGTGTCGGTTACGGCAAAAATTTCCACAAAACCCCGTTTTCTCAAAGAAAAAGAAGCCAAAAAAACCAAAAAAGACCCATTCCCATGAGCAACTACTTTACATTTAATGCTTCAAACACGCGCTTTTACTTCCCACACTTTGGCGGGTACGCATAGAGAGAGAGAGAGCAAAAGCAACCAAGAAAAAAAAAAAAATTAATACACAGAGAGGGTAAAATACAGTCCGTACGAACAAAAACTATTATACAAAATCAATATTCAAGAATTCAAGGCCACACTGTGTACAGTGTATACACTACATAGTCCAATAAAGCGAAAAGGAAAAATTAAAAATAAAATCACACACTCAAATCTCACTGTTTTTGTTGAAAAAAATATCGCCTGTCGTACGTTGCAAGATACCCCCTTTCGATCGTTCGAATTTTCCGATCATCGGACGGGGAAAGGGGCTAAAATCAGCGTGTAAAGAATAACGATTCGACCTTTTTTTTGCTTAATGTTGCTGTGCTGGTGTCTATAGCGAGATCGCGGCAGGATGGAGCTGTACGGGGACCAGCCGGAGGCGGAATGGGGTCAGGAAACGGGTCTGGAAGGTGGGTTTCGGGTTTGATTTCCGGGTTTTTTTCGGGGCGTTTGAGCTCTCGAGGTGTGTTCTGCATTGGGGAATTTTTTTTCCCTAGGGTTTTTTGGTTTTTGCTGATGATGCGTTTTGTGTTTGTGGTGTAGAATCGATGCGGAGGTTGAATCTGTGGAGCAGGGAAGTGTACCCGGAAAGGCCGGGTCAACCCGACTGCGCCTATTATATGCGAACCGGGTCGTGTGGGTACGGGGTCAAGTGCCGGTACAATCACCCTCGTGATCGCAGCATCTCTGTAAGACCTGTGGCGAACAATTTTTTTTTTGTTTTTTTTTTGTTTTTGCATAATGCGGTGCAATAATTTGGTGTTCTTTGAATAGCCTGGGGTTCTGTTCTTGTTTTCTTACATTATGCAGTGTAGTAATCACATTTTAAGCAGCATTATGCAGTGTAGTAATCACTCTTATTGCATCTTTTGTTTTCTGCTCTGTCATTGTTTAGTTCTGTTTGTAGGGTACTTGTAAATGGAGTCTGTGTTCACATGAATTCACACTTTGATTTAGCTCTGTTTTTGTAAACCATGGATTCTTGATTGGCCCTATAACAGAATGTTGTGTTTGTTGGTCTCGATTTTAAAATTCAGTATTCAAGTCATAACTGAGTACTTCTTTTTTGTTTAATGAAATCCTTGTTTGACCTGTGGCAAATGGATAGTTTTTGATCTATTTTGTGTATGTGGTGCAGTAATCTATTGTTCTTTGGATTGTCTGAGGTTCTGTTTATATTTTTCTTCCACATTTTAAGCAGCATTATGCACACTAGCAATCACTCTTACTTCATCATTTGTTTTCTGCGTTTTCATTGTTTAATTCAATTTGTAGGGTAATTGTAATTTAATTATGGGTTCACATGCTAAATACCCTTTGATTTAGCTCCTGTTCTAACTAAGCACTTCTTTTTCGAACTTGTGTTTTCTCCGTATTTAATGAATTGTTAACTCGAGTCTTACTTGAATTTGCGGCATATTTGTTATGTTGTGCAGTTGGGAGGTGGCGAGTATCCCGAGCGAGTAGGGGAGCCTCCATGCCAGGTATTCTGCTTTGTACTAATCCTCTTGTTATTTTTTATTTTTTTATTTTTTTTTGTGGACTTCCTAAGTTAATATGCAAACAAGAAAAGCTTCTATCTTTATTCACAATGCAGTATTACTTAAGAACCGGGACCTGCAAATTTGGTCCTTCATGCAAGTTCAACCATCCGAAAAATGCCGGAGGCTCGTTAGCTAGTGCACCTCTAAATATTTACGGATACCCATTACGGCCGGTAAGCTTTCCCTTATACAAATGCAGTTAATATTTTTTTTACCGCACGATTATGCTGTAACATTATTTTTTTTTTGCCACAGGGTGAAAAAGAGTGCTCCTACTATTTGAAAACGGGGCAATGCAAATTCGGGTTGACCTGTAAATTTGACCATCCTCAACCGGACGGCACATCATCCGTGTCGGCATCTGCACGTCCATTTTATCCGACTGTGCAGCCTCTTTCTTCTCCTTCTCCATCTCCCGAGCAGTATGAAGGGGGTTCGACTGGGTATAGTGTGGTGAGGCCGCCTTTGGTGCCTGGATCATACGTGGCCGGTGCGTATGGTCCCATGCTGCTCCCTGGGGTTGTTCCCTTTCCCAACTGGGGTCCTTACTCGGTAAGGGCTAATTTTAGGTTCATTTTACTTTGAAAGGAGGAGAGTTTGATTATTGTGATGTTGCGGGTAATTAGAGAAAAGTGAAAACCACTCATATGAAGTTAAGCCAGTTTGTAATGAAATGAAAATCGGTTTAGCTTTGACA